ACTGTATTATTTACTCCACAAACTTATTTACACATATTCTGTGTCAGGTCTAATGCTGACTCCTGGGACAGGCAAGGGTGATGTAGGGGCTATTTTAGATAGGGTAATCAAAGAAGGCCTTTCTTCTTGGGTGGCTTTTGAACAGAGAATTAGATAAAGTAAGGAAGCAAGCTTCTGATATTTCAACATTAACTTTTGGTAGATAGTCTTGGTCACATTAAAAATATTTCCTTCTAATCTAAGTTTCTAAGATCTATCAAAAGATGTTTGAAGTATTTAGACAATCATAATTTTCCTTTCACATTTTGTTGCCAAAGCTATACTAACCTTTTTAACTTAAGCTAGAAGGTGTTCCTTCTATTTTTTTGTCTGGAAAAGTTTTAATATTGTATGCATTATTTTCTTTTAGGTATGATGGGCCTATTTACACAAAATTTCTCTCACCTATGCTTTTGTACAATTTTTTCCCTTTCCTTTTTTTTTTTTTTTTTTTTTTTTTTACAAGACAGGGCCTTGCTATGTTGTCCAGGTTTGACTTGATCTCTTAGGGTCAAGAGATCCTTCTGCTTCAGCTCCTGAGTAGCTGGGACTACAGACATGTGCCACTGTGCCCAGCTTCTTGCCATCACCTTTTAATGCTAAATAAATATATAGCATTTGACTAGAAGAAACAGTAAAATAAGATATTTTTAGTGCAATAATTTTAACTTTTAAATCAGTAAAAGAAATCATTTGCCATGTCTGTACTATTTTTTTTATACTTTTAGAGTGTATGAAACCAAGTTGAAAGAATTAGAAACTGATATTGCCAAAAAAAATCAAAGCATCACTGACCTTAAACAACTTGTAAGAGAAGCAACAGAGAGAGAACAGAAAGTTAAGAAATACACTGAAGACCTTGAACAACAGGCATGTAATGTAATTTTTCTTTACATGATAAAATAATGCATTATATCACAAGATGCTCCCTGCATTGTCTTATGTAGATAAAAAGACTCTTGATTAATTCCTTTCCTAGAGGCCCATCTAAGTGAACAGCATCACCATTTGGCCTATTTGTTTAAGCCAAAAACTTTGGATCATCATTCACTTTATTCTTTTTCTCCTTTCCCACATCTTTTTCATCATTAATTCATATCAGCTTTATTTTCAACCTGTATCCTAAATCTGATCACTTCTCAGTGTCTATCAATTTTGTCCAAGCTATTATTAATATCTCATACCTGAATGATTGCAGTAATTTCCTAACTGGTCTCTCAGCTTCCACTCTTGCATCATTTCACCTTCTCTTTATCTCTGACCAGTCCTATACAGAGTTTCCAGATAATCCTTTGCAAGCAACAAGGAAATCATAGCAGTACCATCCTCAACTCACAATCTTCCAGTGGTTCTCCATCACCCTAAAATAAAACTTAAATTTTCATAGCCTATAATTATGTACATGGTCTGGCTCCTAGTTTTCTCTCCAGTCTCATCTTCTACTACTTTGCCCTTCATTCAGTGTTTTAGCCATATTAACTTTCAGTCCTTTGAACAAACCGAACTCATTAAAGTTTCAAGTCCTTGAATTTTTTTTGTTTAGAATACTATTCACCCAAATATTCCCATCGCTCACTCCCACATTCATGTCTCTGCTTAAATGGAGGCTTCACAGAGAGACTTTACCTAGCCCTAACCCTATACCACTTTCCATCATTCTCTATCATCCTGGATTATTTTTTACCCTGGATTATTTTTTTCGATAGCTCTTCCTACCATCTGGCACTTTTATTACTTCCATCATCACATCATATTGCAAACTCATTTTTTTTGTCTTCTCCCACTATTAATAAAAATGTAGGAACCATGAAGGCAGGGTCTTTGCCTATTTTATTCACTGCTGTATCTTCTGCCTAGGACAATGCCTGCCATGCAGTAGTTACTCAGTACTTAATTGTTGAGTGAATGGTGAATTGAACATAGAAATATGCTTATGTATGCTTTTGAAAACCCAACTTTGAATATTATGCTTCATTAAAAATGTGTATCTTTATAAAACCTCATATTTCCATGTCAAACTTTATCTTCTAACTTTTCTTTATACCCAAAGATTGAGTTTCTCAAACACATTCCTGAAGGTACCGAGACAGAGCAAGGCCTTAAACGGGAGCTTCAAGTTCTCAGGTACATCATGTGTTCATATGACTGTTTTGTTTCTTTTTCTTTCTTTTTAAAAATTATTTTTTATATAACCAGGTTTGCTAGAGCTAGGCTTTTTCAACCTCACTGCCCAATAGGTTCATCAGGTCCTTATTTCATCCCTCTAATCCCTCTAAATGCTAATCACTAACTTTTACATAATACATACTGGAAAAAAAGAGTAAACCCAATCCTAATTTCAGTTTCGAGTTTGTAATGTAGTTTCAACTTGTCTAACAGCATAGAATGAATTAAACCTGAACTTCCTAGAGATAAATACTAATAAATAAAAAGAACAAGTAAGTTTTTACTTCCAGGGGTCTCTGTAGTCTACTTTCATTAGGCTCCTTTTGTAACAAAACTACTCTGGAAAATGGCATCAGGTCAGATATTAAAAACTTGAACACTTTGATTCCATACTTTGAGAATGGTGGCATTGCAGCATCGAGAATAAATGTTTATCTTGATACATCCTGATTACTGTACACTAACTAGTTAATAAGAAATGCCCACATATTTTGTACAACAATGTCTATTGGCTTATTATTTTTGTTTTAACACATTATCATTGTGATCTAGATTAGCTAATAGTCAGCTGGTTAAAGAAAAAGCAGAATTAATCCATCAGATTGAAGTTAACAAGGACCAAAGTGGACCCGAAAGCATCAAGCCTGGTAATGTATATTAGAAAACTATCCCAAGTTTTTGAACTCAGGTTTGCCTTTTTGTGGTTCAGATTCTTTATCATCATTTCTCTACAAAAGCAAATCCTTGATATGAAGTTTTAGAGCTGTTGTCTGTCCATGCTATAAAAATATTCCCATTCATCCTTGAGTTGTCTCTACTATAGTAGTAAGTACCTAAGTATTTTTCTCCTTGTGTTCTATCTAGGTGTTAGAAATTTAATCACAATACAAGGCTATGCAATGAATACTAGGTCTGTTGTTTCCAGTTCCTAATTATAGACCTTTTCAGTTCCTCTGAACATTTTTTTCTTGTTATTGTTATTATTAATTTAAGAACTACAAATAAGTAAACACTGCCTATATTTTTTTCCTTTTAGAAAGTAAAAAGAATGTCTATCTACCCTTTTCTATTCTCATTCCAGAGAATTACTATTCATTCCTATTCATTCCTGTGTGTACACACACACACATATACACGTATATTCATATATGTACATACAGTGAACAGTTCGTCCTCATTATTAGTGGATTCTTTATCTGTGAATTTGCTTACTCACTAAAATGTATTTTTAATCCAAAAATCAACACTTGTGGCAGTTTGTGGACATTTGCAGAGCAGTAGAGCATTTGAATAATCCAACCTACAGGTTCCCAGCAAGATCCAACAAGGCAATGCTCAGCTTTCTTGTTTTCATATGGAGATGACTAGAGGATGGACACAGTAGGGGGCAGCACAGCATAGTTTAATAAGCTCAATTCTGATACTTACTAGTGGGAGTCTTCAGGGAATAACTTAACACTTCTGGACCTTGTTTTCTCTTTTGTAAAATAAAGAAAATAGAATCGACCAGGATGAGTAATTTCTAGGATTTTTAAGATAATAATCTATGTAAGATGTGTACATATATGTATGTAGGTATATGTTTGTATATATTTCCCCTAGGAACAGTAGTTTGATATTCACTAATAAAAGTATTTGTGCTGAGTTTATAGAACTACTGTGAACAGAGAATAGACTTTATATTGGTTATATATACAGATATATATTTTCTTGTGCAGTGATATAAAATTGGATTTATACTATACATATTTCTAGTTTATTTGCCTTTAACAGTTTATCATGGACATCTTTTGAGGTCTGTTTATAAATCTGTCTCATTCTCTTAATAATTGTATAGTATATTATTGTATGGATACATTGAAACATTCAGCTTTTGATGGACATTTGCTTTCAAATTTCTTTTAATATAAAATAATACTATGATGAATCTCTTAATCATACCATTATTTAACAGTTTACTGAAAACACCAAATTTTGCTCCAAAGGATTTTATCAATTTATATCTGAACAATCTGAGTATTTCATATAGCTTTTTCAATATCCAACTATGTAGTCTTGTTGCTACTTTGTATTAAAGTCATTGTGTATGAGTTGTACTAGACACTATGCTAAGTGCTTTACAAGCATTCTATTTTATTCATATAACCCTAGATGATGACTACTGTTGTCTCCATTTTACATGTGATAAACAGGTTCAAAGAGGTTAAGTAACCTGTCCCCCATGGTCACAAAAGCTAAGAAGTAGCAGAGGGAGATTAAAACCTAAATTTAAGCTGAGCATGGTGGCTCATGCCTATAATCCTAGCACTCTGGGAGGCCGAGGCAGAAGGATCACTTGAGTTCAGGAGCTTAAGACCAGCCTGAGCAAGAGTGAGACCCTATCTCTGCTAAAAATAGAAAAATTATCCAGGTGTAGTGGCATGTGCCTGTAGTCCCAGCTACTCAGGAGACTGAGGCAGGAGGACTGCTTGAGCCCAGCAGTTGGAGGTTGCTGTGAGCTAGGTTAATGCCATTGTACTCTAGCCCATGTGACAGAGCGAGACTGTCTCAAAAAAAGAAAAAATAAACCTAAATCTATGAAAGTAAAAAGCTGCTTACCATTCCAGCCCTTAACCACTGTGCTATGTTGCCTCTTGATAACTTAAAACATATACATATATCTGTCAGCAGAGCAGCCAGCTTAGTGTATACCAGACTAGACACGGTACCAAAGTCCTATTAATGCTGTTAACATTACACAAGTCTTTCTAAACCTCAGTTTCCTCCAGGAATTTCTGAGCCATCATATTCCTTACTTATCTCCCATGTGAAGGCGATAAAGAAAGATACCTGTCATGTTTCAAAGACTGTAAAGGTTTAATATCAAACCGGAACTGTTTTGGAAATTCAAAATCATTAACTAAATAAAAGTGGTCATTAAGATAACTTTTGGAAGATGCTACACATAGTATTATATGTATGTAAGAATTTTTCCATATTAAAAAAACCATGATTCTATACTTATAATACCTATCACATGCCTCTTTTTGCTTGCCATGGAATTACAGTACTTAATAGAGGCAGCATATAGTATTCACATACTGAAAAGTCCTTCAGCCATAAAATGCCGTATCTTCCAGGCTGTGGGTTTCATAAGTTTTCTGCTTATTCTCCATAACAAATCCTTTATCTTAAATTTATTCAGAGTGGGTAAAACCAGAGTCTAATTTTTGTAACTTTTTCAGCAGATGCTGATCAACTAAAGGAAAAAGTAAAAGATCTAGAGACACAGCTCAAAACATCAGATCTAGAAAAGCAGCATTTGAAGGTAATTAAATATTTAATTACATCTAATTTTAATTTTGTTTTGTGGAAACAGCTGTTGAAAACTATTTTTATGACCACCATCTTTGAGTTTTAAGTATGTATCCTAAACATTCCTGTAATTACATCTTATATTCATATTTGACCTTGATATTACAATCAGTATTAAATAAGAACTAACAAAAAATAAACAGAAAGAATTAAAGAGTAAATTTATTTTTTAATTGTAACAAATATAGCTCATTATTTTCATACTTTCTTAATTTAAGTTTTGGGTCATGTTGAGAATAGTGTTTTTAGTTCATTTTGAAATTCTTTTCAGGAATTTTCTGTTAAGGTTATAGTGCTCTTAAAAAAATATTTGCCATACTTTACCTCTTAAGACTGTAAACAACAAAAGGGCCTGGATATGAAAATTAGCTAATGATCACCGGCTATTCCAAATAGTCACTGGAGCTCAAATTCTCTCCCTTCACTAGATGCCTGACTTAGCCAGGCAGAAATCTCAAGGTTTCCCTGATTATAAATATATTTATAAAAAGTTAGTCATCATTCATTAAAACTTAGATATTTAGAAAGAAAATATAAATGAAGTGTAAATCAAAAAATCTAAACCAGAATAACTTCAATGTTGTGAATAGCAAAATCTTTTTGACTGCTTTATTATGATTATCCTATGTGCTTTTAGAGAAAGATAATCCCACCGTAAACTAAGAGTTGATAAGTTTTAGTCAAAGAATAGATAATTTGATGCGACAGCTAACAACTTAGTTATTTATACTGTACAGTGAAACTTCATATAACAAAATCTTAAGAAAATACTTTTGCCTTTATAACTGTATTTGACTATTCAGGATACCTTGGTTTTCACATTTATAGTTAAATCTCTTTAATTCAAACCTAAAGCACGTATTATATTTCCTATATGCAACTTTTAAAGATAATATGTTTCTATTAGGAGGAAACAAAAAAGCTGAAAAAAGAACTGGAAAATTTCGATCCTTCATTTTTTGAAGAAATTGAAGATTTGAAGTATAATTATAAGGAAGAAGTGAAAAAAAATATTATTTTAGAAGAGAAGTTAAAAAAACTTTCAGAACAATTGGGAGTTGAATTAACTAGCCCTATTGCTGCTTCTGAACAGTCTGAAGATGAAGAAGAAAGTCCTGTTAATTTTCCCATTTATTAAGGGCCACCTATACCTGTAGCTTTATTTGTCTATTTATTAACTTTATAAGTTAAAATTCCATGTGGAAATAATCTCTGAATTATAGAATTTCCTTCTACCATGTACCTTTACTTAGATTAGAATTTTTAGTATATAAAATGACATTTTTAACTTATTAGACAAGTATATTTTTGAAGACTTTAGAATAAGTATGACTATCAAGAAGTATCAGGGTAAATTTAACAGCTTTAACATTTATAATTGGGGTTTCATATATACTTTTTATATGTGTTAAGATTCTCAAATACTATGACATATATACACACATAGATATACATATATCGATTATGTGGTTTAGCCAAGTTTTGTTAAATGTATAGCAAAATTAAATTGAATTTAAATTATTAAATATTGGAAATAAATCATAAAAAATTGTTGGTTTAATTGTCATCTCTAAATTACCACCCAGTTATGGTGGAAAGAATCCAGCCTTTGTAGAAGTTTGGGCCAAACTTACATTTTTATGGCCAAAGGTTAAAATTTATTTGCTGATTCTAAATAAAATTTTGAATAGGTATTTTGAAACTGGAAAATTCATTTCTTCAAATGGTAGAAGACATACTACTATGTTTCACAATGAATAGAAACCTTGAGATATTTTTAAACACAGCAGAATATTCAAGATTAGAATATAACAATAAAATGAATTTTAATTACATTTCCATTTTATACATCAAATATTATATCTTTGAGCCTACCAAATTTCTGATTATCTAATTTTAAAAAATTATTAAACAAACACTTAGTATCAAAGGCATAGTCATATTTGTTTAAGTTCATGTTGATAATAACTGGTTTTGAATTCATATAAGTATCTGGAATTGGCCAGCATAAACCAAGATGATGGCGATGGACCTTAATTAAACAGCCGTCACCGCAATGCCAGACTATTCCTTCAATTTTACCCTCTCTGCAACCTTCAAACCAGGACAAAAGATCATTGTGCTTCAATGTAGGCAGATTTCTTATTTGAAATGCTCCATGTGGTATAAGAAGATGTAATGGATGCTTCTTGCTTCCTAACCCTAAATGGTAAAATTTGCCATTAACCATACTCATTCAAAAGAACTTTTCAGACAGAATAAGAAAATTTGCCTATCCAAATAAGTCTTCTAAAACATAGACAAGTATATTTTTGAAGACTTTAGAATAAGTATGACTATCAAGAAGTATCAGGGTAAATTTAACAGCTTTAACATTTATAATTGGGGTTTCATATATACTTTTTATATGTGTTAAGATTCTCAAATACTATGACATATATATACACACACATAGATATACATATATCGATTATGTGGTTTAGCCAAGTTTTGTTAAATGTATAGCAAAATTAAATTGAATTTAAATTATTAAATATTGGAAATAAATCATAAAAAATTGTTGGTTTAATTGTCATCTCTAAATTACCACCCAGTTATGGTGGAAAGAATCCAGCCTTTGTAGAAGTTTGGGCCAAACTTACATTTTTATGGCCAAAGGTTAAAATTTATTTGCTGATTCTAAATAAAATTTTGAATAGGTATTTTGAAACTGGAAAATTCATTTCTTCAAATGGTAGAAGACATACTACTATGTTTCACAATGAATAGAAACCTTGAGATATTTTTAAACACAGCAGAATATTCAAGATTAGAATATAACAATAAAATGAATTTTAATTACATTTCCATTTTATACATCAAATATTATATCTTTGAGCCTACCAAATTTCTGATTATCTAATTTTAAAAAATGATTAAACAAACACTTAGTATCAAAGGCATAGTCATATTTGTTTAAGTTCATGTTGATAATAACTGGTTTTGAATTCATATAAGTATCTGGAATTGGCCAGCATAAACCAAGATGATGGCGATGGACCTTAATTAAACAGCCGTCACCGCAATGCCAGACTATTCCTTCAATTTTACCCTCTCTGCAACCTTCAAACCAGGACAAAAGATCATTGTGCTTCAATGTAGGCAGATTTCTTATTTGAAATGCTCCATGTGGTATAAGAAGATGTAATGGATGCTTCTTGCTTCCTAACCCTAAATGGTAAAATTTGCCATTAACCATACTCATTCAAAAGAACTTTTCAGACAGAATAAGAAAATTTGCCTATCCAAATAAGTCTTCTAAAACATTTAGGAATAAAGTTAGAAAAAAATAGTTGGACCTTGAAGAGAATATAATCAAAGTGCATTAAGTCCTGTGTTCTCAATGTGGCACCATATTCTAATAAACCTAAATTCCAACTCTGTGTACTTTACCAAGTCTACATCAGTAATCAGCAAACTAGGATCTACAGACCAAGCCTAGATTGACATCTGCTTCTGTAAATAGTTTCCATGGACACAGCCACACCCATTCATGTAAGTACTGTCTATAGCTCATTTCAAAGGTGGTAGCCCACAAAGCTTAAAATATCTACACTGACATTTTGGAGAAAAAATGTGCTGACTCCTGGTCTTATATACACCATTAGTCATATTCAACTATTATTCAATGTTTATCAAACAGATGTACCATAATCTCTGATAACTTATATAATTATCATCTTAGTTGCTTTATACCTGCCAATCAATATACTTTTGATCTCAATACAGGATTTTCTTACTATAGCTTTAATATCCTTAGGTCTATCGTCTCATCCCCCATCAACAATGTATTCCACAGTGCCCTCAAGACTTGTACTTGGTTCATTGTGGTATATATTTTGATGCTTGATATGGTATTCATTGTAAATTCTTTATTTACTTTACTCTTGGCCGTTTAATGCTGTAACCATGAAAAGTGCATTTTCAATCAACTCAGCTCACCCAAATATGAAAAAGCAATGAGAAGTTACACCTGACTAATTACTTTTCATATACAGTTGTTTAATGTAATCATAGGAAGGAATGAGAGGATAAAAATCAGCCTTTTGGATTAATAAAGTCATGAATAAATTTTTCCATGATCATAAAGTTAACAGAAATGGATGTAATCCCAGAAAACTATTTAACACAAATTTGTTAGTCATTTCTGTAGTGTGTTTCTTAAGTTGACCCTAGAAAGTTCTCTTTATAAATGACAGTAACTATAACTGAATAAGAAAAAGGGCTTCACTCACCATATGGATTTCCATTGATATTTGTTCCTATAAGCTCCAGTGTTTGCTCTAAGAGATCTGATAGTGGCACTGCACTAATTTCCAAAAGTCCAGGATCATCAGGATGATGCTTTAGTACCAGGGCAATTTCAAATTCATAATTAACTACAGAGGAATGCCAGCAATACTGTTTGTTGTTTTTCTCTACTGGTACCCAACCTATCATTTAAAAAAATATATATTTTATTACATCATTTTTCTATGGATTGAAATGACACGTAATTCTATTTTTATTATAAATTTCCATATTCTTTGGATATCTATCACATAGTCATCATTTTTAAAATCAGTGGGAAAGTCAACAGTTTCACAACTTTTTTTTTTTTTTAAATCATAAGGGTTCATTTTTTATTCTGTTTAGGAATTCACCTGTTTGATTATTCTCTACAGAGCATCCAGAATTTTCTTACTAGAAATTTGACCCTAATTCAGTAAAAAATTGAACACTATTCTAAGACTTAGCATTAAAACTTTTTTTAAATAAATGCTACTACCTTCACTATAGTTTCAGGGACAATGACACATGCAGTAAGTATTCCACAATTTATTGAACTGTTTGTTCTCTGTCTCCTTTGTAGTTTCAGGGACAATGGACATATATAGTAAATGTTCCACAATTTATTGAACTGTTCCAATATTTATTGAATAATTTATTGATACCACATTTATTGAATGTTATTTTTGTTCCCCTTCTCATTCTTATTGCCAGAATTGGCCACTCATTGTGGAGAACTCATTACCAAAGAAAACTAGGACATACATGCCATTGTGACCATATTGTTAGCCTTTATTATTCACCCCAAATTACTATAATAATTTCTTTGCTGGTCTGCTAGCCTCCACTGTTATTATAGTTCTATTTCAAAAATTTCAATTTAGTTCCTCTGTATCTCTACTTAATAATCATTATCTTCAGGATAAACTTCAAACTCTTTTTTTTTTTTAAACTTCAAACTCTTTTAGATGGAATATAAGGGCCTTTAAAATCTGAGACACTTCAACCCTCAACTTAGTCTCCTCAAGATGTCATACACCCTAAACATTCCAACTACAACAAAGTGTTATGTCCAAAATACTCCATTCTCGCTCCCCTTCCTGGAAGTCTGCCTAAGCTGACCTTCTTTTTCCTTGCCAACTAAATTCCTGGTTCTTAAGCTTTGGTACAGATGCTAACTCCTCCTAGAAGCTAACTCTAACCACTACACATTGAAATAAGAATCCCTCTTCTTTTCTCCAGTTATATCCTATGTATTCATTACTGTTAATCCTTAAATCATACTATTATTGGTCAATTTTTCCCAATGTCTAATAAAAGATCATTGAGGACAAGGGTTCTGACCTTCATTTTTGTATTACCAGAAACTAAGCAGGTACTGCACATAATAGGCATTCAAAACATGCCTCTTTATCTGCCCATAGTCTTTTTTTTTTCTGAGACAGAGTCTCGCTTTGTTGCCCAGGCTAGAGTGAGTGCCGTGGCGTCAGCCTAGCTCACAGCAACCTCAAACTCCTGAGCTCAAGTGATCCTACCGCCTTAGCCTCCCGAGTAGGCTGGACTACAGGCATGTGCCACCATGCCTGGCTGATTTTTTCTATATATATTAATTGGCCAATTAATTTCTTTCTATTTATAGTAGAGACAGGGTCTCACTCTTGCTCAGGCTGGTTTCGAACTCCTGACCTTGAGCAATCTCTGCCCATAGTCTTAATCTGGGGGTATCTATAAACTCAGCTACCTCTGCAAAATTTTTCCCATTCCCAGAAAAGCTATTTGTGAGACACCTATTTTTACTCCATTCAATGAGATTCTTCTGGGATCTTCACAAAAATAAACACATATACCATATGTTAATCCCAATTTAAAGGTAAAGATTTCTTGAAATATTTCAGACTACATCAATCATATTATTTACCCTGACAAGAACTTTAAGGTCACTGTCATTCACACTTTGTCATAGACTACAACTAGTAAACTATTCATCTTAGAAAGATTCTAAACCTAAGAGGACATTCTTGATATGAAATATCTTTGATATAAATGTGAATTTTATATAAATGATTCAAAATTTTGCTACATATTGATAAAATGAACCAGATTAAATTCATTTCTCATTAATTGCACCTTTTGTTCTTTTAACTAGTCACACAAAATTCCATTTAAGAGATTTCATGATACCAGGAATGTGTCCATTTTCATCGGCATTGGATTCCCATTTAATTGTTCTATTTCTTTTGCTGGTATCCAGCATCTTGGAGCAGGTTTAAAGTCCTCCTCAACGTTCCAAAAATTCTAAAAGAAGTCAGATAACATTATATGTGGTGATACTTTATGTAAACACTGAACAGATTCAACTGGTGAACAGCTAATAAAGCATAATATCTGATATGATACAATTATTCTTCATTCATTAGGACTCCACAATGTGACTGTACTTTTCAGGGCTGGGGTACTTTAAATTTTCAGTTTTAATACATGACCATGAGTATAGAGTATAACCAATATCCATTATGTATACATTTTTATGAATTTTTAATACATTATGGATAATATGTATAAATTATATACATGAATGAGTGTAGATATACAATGAGTGTAGATATCTACTACGTATAATATTTACAGGTATTTAATGTAATAATTTAAATACTCATTTTCCTTTGAAATATGTACCTGATTGTAAAATTACATATTTCTCTACAAGGCAAAATCAAAATGTCTCACTCATTATATCTGTAGTAATTTATATGTTTAATTAAATAGACTCAAACTATAATGAAGAGTCACAGAATATTAAGAAATATTTAATATTTTTCAAGAATATTCTTTATATAAATACTCAATTATAATTTTTCTAAATATATTCTAAATATATTTTTCTTTTTTTCAATTATACAGAAAGATGAAATGTATAGAAACACTATCGCAACAAATAGCACAATTTAGCTATTTAAATCACGAAAAGTTAAAAAATAAAAACATAACCCTTTGGTTTTCTTTTGAATGTAGAAAATTTTTAAATCTTTTGTCAGCTTGTTTGTTAGGTTTTCTATCTAGCCGAGCCCAAAGGTATGGCTGATCTAAAAAGTAACAATAAAAGGAAAAGTAACATATAAGAGACAGACAAAACTTATCTTGAAAGATATTTCAGAATAAAATTTTCAATGAACAGTAGGGTCATTTCTCTAAGAGAAGAAGCAACTCTAGAAAAACAAAGGGAAACAGGCAGTCTTAAGATATATACCACCTGGCTATGCTATACCTGATGCTATGGAGAAGACTTATTCTTTGGTTAATGATGAGGATGAGATAAAAAGTAAACTCATGATCCTGTTATAAGGACATTCCATAGTTATATTTTATTAGTAATTAGTATTTGTGAGAAACTAAAGCTACCTCTATATAAAGTGGAAACATAACCAGATAATTGTATTCACACCTCCCCTGAATATTAAACTGTAAGAGTTGATTTCTGGAACATATGGAATTAGGCTGAGCTGTTTTACATGGGACTGATCCCTGGTCAATGCATGAAATGATTAATAGTGTTGATTTGCATTCATGGGTCAGGGGAGTTTCAGGGCACTGTGCCAGTATTCTTTATTGGTAAGAGTGAGACCCTTGGAGGGCTCTGCTGTTGAGGCTGGTTACTTAGCAGGAAGATGCCTGATGTAGCCAGCAAAAATATAAATACAAAATATAAATTCCAGCTCAGACTCTATTTTGGACTCCCTGGTTCCAAGGTATTGCCTGCACACATCAGTGGTTCCTTATCTGAGAAAATGTGTCCTGCCAAGGCCTTAAAAGTAGGGCACAATAGCAGCTTTTACCTGCCCTCTCCAAACCCTGTGCTGTGAGATAGTCCTTGGCTGTGATACTTTTAATGCCCTTGCTATACTGTGCATCCTTTACCAGTAATAAAATGTGGATTTGTAAGCACTGTCATTTGGGGTCCTGTGAGTCTTCTTTGGCAGTTAAAGTACAATCTTGTTTAACTGCCATCATCCTGCATAATCACACATAATGATGCATACTGAAGTTTCTTAATATAAAAGCCTGAAAAATCTTTTACAGTTCTCTCAAATACATAATCTGAAGTTTGTAAAAAATATTACACTTTGGTTCAGATTTTATCTATTACTTATTAGCTGATAAATAACATGAAGAACCACATTAAAATTATATTGTGATTTCTGGTTGAATGGACCTTTTTATTTACCAGTTAACATAAAAAATGTATTTCACTCAGATCTATTAGGATGACTACTATCAAAAACAAACAAAAAAGTGCTGGTGAGAATACAGAGAAATTAGAAACTTTGTGCACTGTTGGTGGGCATGTAAAATGGTACATCCATGATGCAAAACAGTATGGTGGCTCCTCAAAAAATTAGAATTACTATATGATCCAGGACTTCTACTTCTGGATATACACCCAAAAGAATTGGTAGCAGGACCTCAAAAATATATTTGTTCACCCCTATTCATAGCAACACTGTTCATAATAGTCAAAAGGTGAAACCAACTGAAGTTTCCATCAATAGTTAACTAGATAAACAAAATGTGCTCTACATAGACAATGGAATATGATTTAGCCTTAAAAAGGAATGAAGCCAGTTTCAAAAAGATAAATACTGTATGTATGATTCCACTTTTATGAGATATTTAGCATAGTCAAATTCATAGAGATAGAAAGTGTGGTTACAAGGGGTTGGGGGTGGGGAGATAGGGAGTTGTTTCATGGGTATACTTTCAGTTTTACAAGATGAAAACTTCTGGAGATGGATGCTGGTGACAGTAGCACAACAACATGAATGTTCTTACCCCTGAACTGTACACTTACAAATGGTTAAGATGGTAATATCACGTATATCTTAGCACAGTTAAAAAAGTTTTTAAATGCATTTCAGAAGAGATTTTCTGATACAAGCAATGTGTCCAGATGCCCATTTCACAGTTCTATTTATTTTTGTGGAATTGAGAGGTAATCTCCCCATCCAGAAGTAATCACAAAGAATATTTCTCTTTTCAATGCAGTTTTTTTCTTAACAGGGTTGACAATTTCTATTTGAGTTTCTACCTCTTTTAAAATACATTAAAATTAATTAGCAACATTGCCAACAGTAAAACACTAAACACTAAAACACTAAAATCAGCACTGGGATCAGCACAAGGAGAACAAGCTTTAGGGCCAGACAAACCTAGGTTCCACTGCCAGTTCAACCATTCATTAACTACATAGTTTTGAACAAATTATTTAAGTTCACTGAGCCTCATTTTCCTTATCTGTAAAATGTAGAGGCTTCTTGTACAAGTTATAGATAATATGTATGAAGCATTTATCATACTGACTGGTCCTTAATGAGTATTAAGTGTTAGTTTACTTTCTTTCCTGCCCCAAGAGAAAAATATAATATAAAATATAACAATTGTGACCTTTTAATCTTGCTACTAAGGTATCCAAGGGTTTATGAAAAGCAAATGCCCCATTTCAGATTTATATAATTTGTAAAGTGATTAAGAAAAATAAGTAATATTTGTAGTAAACATAATAGTTTTATTTTACCTTTGTAGGTAGTAACATAACAACATGTTCCATCCACTTTTTCTGTTGGAATTGCACTGTATACATCTGCATCTAATGCCTTGTGACTTATAGTTTCAGTTGCCAAAACTTTAAATGGCTTAAAAGAGAAAGAGAGAAAACTTGTTTAAGATAAACAGCCTCTGTACTTTGCACACACTCTCACCTGAAATGTTCTTAATTTCATTAATTTTAAGGGATGATCCTCCTAGTCATCCTTCAAACAATTTAAAAATATTTCTTCTGTGAAGTTTTGAATTACCCCCTCTTCTATGCTATCATAGCAATACCTAGTTTTCAACACAAATGTGTAATTATTTACATGTTGCTTTATCCATTATAATGACTTAACACCAGGAACTATGTCCTACACAGCACTGCATCCCTAACACAAGTGTTCAGTATATTCAATCATACTTGACAATTATTTTCTAAATGCCTACTATGGATTAAGCATTGTCCTCAGCACTGGAAATAGAGGTTCCTGCCTTTGGTGAAACTTGCATCTTACTAAAGGAGATAAAAGAAACAAAATGCATAATACAATGTTAGTTATGATAAATGCTAAAGAGAAAAACAAATGGAGTAAGGCAAGAGAGAAATGAGGTACTATTTTAGATATGGTAGATAGGAAAGACCTCTTTGAGGAGCAGCATCTGAGCAGATTTGAAGTGAGGAAATACACCATGTAAACATTCAGGGGAAAAAAGGCCCCAAGTCAAGAGGTTTCTTGATGTGTTTGAAGGATGCAAGGCAGCCATTGTGTTTGGAGCTAAGTCAAACTAGATTATGTGTTTAATTAACTTAAATAATTCCATAGGTGCTTCCAGTGGCTCAGTACAAGTATTTTCCAATCATAATTTTTAGTTTTTCAAGAATCAATCTGCTCTTCAATATAGGAGACTTTCCATCTTTTTTTTTTTTTTTTTTTTGAGACAGAGTCTCACTTTGTTGTCCAGGCTAGAGTGAGTGCCGTGGCATCAGCCTAGCTCACAGCAACCTCACACTCCTGGGCTCGAGCGATCCTTCTGCCTCAGCCTCCCGAGTAGCTGGGACTACAGGCATGCGCCACCATGCCCGCTAATTTTTTATATACATATCAGTTGGCCAATTAATTTCTTTCTATTTATAGTAGAGACGGGGTCTCGCTCTTGCTCAGGCTGGTTTTGAACTCCTGACCTTGAGCAATCCGCCCGCCTCGGCCTCCCAGAGAGCTAGGATTACAGGCGTGAGCCACCGCACCCGGCCCCATCTTTTATAAACACAGACATTTTTATGATTTACAAAACTTATTTTTCAATTAAGACTGGGTTCTTAGTAAGTCTTAGCAAGGATCTGGTAATGTACTTCCACCTCAGGCCACAGTCTCAAGGAGCAGACAGAAGATATGGAAAATAGTCCATTTTTTTTTTTGCTTTTTTCAGCCTTTTTTCTAAATAAACACATGCTAATTACAGAAAATTTATAATGTGAAATATACAAAAGCATAAATAAGTTATCATCCATAATATCACCATTCAGATATAATCACAAAAAACCTTTTGGCATAATTCCCATGTTTTTTCAGTGCATTTTTCTCCCTAATATAACTGATCAATTTCTATTTTCTACAGAGGAAAAGCCAAAAATCAAATGCTTTCTGGATTTACTGATTTCATATGCTTTTCCTCCTCAGCTGCATGATAAACATAAAAAGCAATATCCTTTTCCTTTTCTTAATATTTCATCTCTGAAAAATGTTAAGTACAAGCATAGGATGCCTAAACTATACTTATTCGCATCCTTTTCATAAAGTAATTATCAGTAGTATATCTCCATTGATGGAGCTTGCATCCCTGTCTAAACATTTCAGGCCACAGACTTTTACATAAAAGTTTTATAACCTAAAAATACTTGGATGCATTATAAAGTTCAACAAGTACTCTTTTGGAAAATATACCACCTGCTTCAAAGGGAAATTAACCCCTGATGGTTTCTTACCATTAATAGTTACTTCTTATATTAGATAAATATGGTATTACAAACTCCAATTTCTGAACTATGTTAACTATGATTGTTTTACATTTGCTTATTTATTTTGAAAATGTCCAAGAACACAAAAGAAAAATTGCCTCTGTAAAACAAATGTTTCTTGATTCTGAGTCAGGCTTCACTTTAATAATAGTTTTTTCCACAGCTACCTAACTTCCCCATGCAGTCTCATGAATCTTTTACTTTGGAAGTTGTATTCAGGAGTCTCACTACAATGTTGATCTTTAAAAACTCTGTGATCACTCATTCATCAAAGTTAGAGCATTTAGTTTGTGAAAGGCCTTGCTCTAGAGTCCTAGATTACGCAGGCAGAGCATAAAAAGGAATAACACTGGCTGGCTAGGTGAGACCTCAAATGTGTACTCCAGTAAATACAGCCCCATTGATGACCCCAACTGGTCTACTATGCCACCTTAGATATGTTACAGTGTATACTTCAGTACCTTTTTAGTTCTAAGTCTTTGCATAATGAGTACTCAAAATTTGAGGCTGATTTGGGTTCATTCATGTTTTTTCCATAACAACTTTCACTGTTTGACTGTTAAAACTACCAAGGATCACTTGCCTTTTATTTTTCCTTAGATTTTGTTTGCTTTCAGAGCACTCACTTCTTGTCCCTCTCAGCTTTATCGGTAGTAACTGTTTTACATATTTAATTTATGGTTATTGTCAAGAAGATAAAAGAACATCAAAGATGGAGGAAAAGACAGTTTCTCAGGTTTCTACCAACTTTTTATCTGTAATTTATTTTCATTTCTGAGATTTAAGCCAGTTTTATAGTCTTAATCTGAAGGAACATCGTCTTACATTGTTAAACAGCATTGCACAACATAAACATACCAGTGTGTATAAGCTTAAGACTATTAAAGTGGAAGTACTATTTCAAACAGGTAAACAAGGAAATTAGCCCCATTCTACTACTGATTCAGTACTTTTAAGATAAAACTGATTGAGGATTTATCACTAATTTATGACAGTGGTATCAGAGCATATCAATTTAACCTATGGTGGTAGAGCCACAGGGTCTGGACCAATAGTAGTGTGAGTGAGAGTGTGTTTGTGTGTGTATTTGAATTTATCAAAGATCTTAGGAAGGTACTCTCCATGGAGTTCTTGATGAGTGTAAACATTCCTTCCACAAGAATCAATCATCTACCACTCTTAGCTATTGACATGTCCAAAGAACAACAGAAAACACTGAGGGGTACACAAAGTTCTCCTTCTCTACCTGTTATCAAAGACTTTAGACTATTACTGAAAAAACAAGGCATGTGTGTATAAAAAGTATATAATGAATATCAACTGGGTGGTCCTCTACAATTTCCGGGTAAGGGAAATCAATGTAATGATTAAACTGATCAAAGATTTCACAGACAAGGTCTGACTTGAAAAATTAAGAACACTCTGGAGGTGATGCAGACAGAGTGATTAGTCTGAACAAAAATATAAGAGGATTGTGGCTGGTATGTGAAAGAGATTTTGCTAAAACAGAGACTTTGAGAAGGTTGGAGAGTAAAATGGGATTGATTCATGGGAGATGTTGAATTATAATTAAGAATTTGAATGCTAAGCTGTTCTTAACCACAGAGAGACAAAAGGCTTATTTTCTCCTGGTGCAGGGTACTTTTACAAACTACTCCCCTCTAACATACAAAGTTGAAAATCACAGCCAGAGTGAACCACTAACACAGTGGCGATGCTTCATATGGATTAGATTTGTTAAGGCTTTTTTAAAAAGGCTGATAAATACTGTTACAGACACTGAGTAAAAATTGGGGTTTTGTCTAGGGAAGAATATGGTGATGATCGTTCTGGATGGAATGTAAGACCAATTAGGTAATGCAATAAGCAGGACATGAAATCATTAACTATAACAGGGAGAATGAAAAGATAAGATGTTCTAAAATAAAATGCAAGGTGAATGGAAAACTGGCATGAAATGACTCAAAAGTCCCTCCCTTTATTCCACAAAATATACCCAATGTCAGGTCCTAGAAGCCAGGACTAAAGAAACTCGGCAGTCTTTGCCTTAAAGGCCTGTTAGTTTAGAAGACAAGATGGCCAGTGCCAATGATGAAAGGTAGGGTGGATTTCAACCGGACACGTTATTTTGAATGAGTTGACAGCATCCAGCTCATAAATATGGATTCTACTGATCAGGACGACCCATGTCCTTGATCAGTAGATTATTAAAGAATTATCCTGAAATAGTTACTTACTATTCATTGACTAGCATTTAGTGAGGGCCCACTATATGTAAAGCACGTTGCTAGAATAGAAAACTTTGAGATGGAAACACCAAAGTTCAAGTCAAGTAGGTAATTACTGATAATAATACATGAGGTCTGATCTTTAGTGACATAATCAGGCTAGCTGTCAACACTGCCACTGGTTCTCAGATTATAACAGGTAAAGCAAGTCTTCTAATATCTCCACTTTTTCACCACACTCTTAAAAAGTAGTAAACCTTGAACTGTAGGGATCCTCTGGACATTGAGGGGTTTTCTCCGGAAACTGCTACCCTGAGAAGAAAGGGACGTTATTTTGGATATGGGTTTTCAATTTCCCTGCAAGGGCAGGACTGAATCTCCTAATCAGAAAAAGTGCTCTCGCAGATTCCCTTCCTTACAAACTAAGAAATGCCCAGAACCTGGAGCTCAGGCCTTACGAACTCCCACCCCAACCTCCCCACCGAAACCTACAAGAGATCCCGGCCTGCACGGCGCCTCTAACGCGCCCGGGCGCTCTCGCCTGGTTCGAACCGAGCCAGCGCCGCGGGGAGCGGCCCACGCGCGAGTGCTCCGCCGGCGCTGCGCTCCTCGGTACCTGATGCTCCCTTTTGGCGGAGGGCTCCTCTTTCACCTCCGTCACAAACAGACACGGCATTTTCCGCTGCACGGAGCCCAAGCGCCTCATGCTGAAACCGACAGACAGTACAAGTGGAGAGCGCGCTCTCGAACTGTGCCGGGTCCAGGGGGAAAGAGAGCCCTGCAGCAGCAAATCCCTCGGCTCACGAACACACTCCGCGCACAGCAACGGCGGTTGCGCCTTCGCGACGCCAAACCCGAGCGAGGGGCGGGACCGCACGCCCGGAAGCGGCCTCCAGACCGCGGTGCCTTCTGGGAGTTGTTGTGCAAGAGCTAAGGCGCCGGGTGCTCTCCCACGTGCGTCCCCCCGGGTTTTGATAACCATGAAAGTACATAGATCCGCTTCCTGAGCGTGTTTACCTAACCACACTCAGTAACCGATGATATTTTTGAAAATTAAACAATATCAAGTTTTAAGTGATGAACATTTCAGATGGCGGTTTAACACCGTTCTATTGAAAGCTGCTTTACTGTTTTCTTAAACAAGTACATGGGGAAAGCACTGTAGTTTGGAAATATCTAGAGACATTCCCAGATTCCAAGTAGAATGAAAACTGGTTTCCCAGGAAGAATGTCAGGAAACACTACAATTAAAACACCTGGGACCAAAAAGATTTTTTTAAAGTTACCGTTTGAATTATGCCTCATTGTGCAGCATAGCGCGGTCGAAGTTGGTTTGGATGTTCTTTCCAGAATGAGTGTGAAGTTTACCCTTAGACTAATCCAAAACTACAGGAATACCAACGGACTTCAGTCTCAAGTGTTTCATTGGACTCCTATAATCTTAATTAAAGATGAGCTCCAACCGCGTCCAAATGGCCTGAGTAGTTGTCAATCAGCTGCAGAGCTAAAACCTACTTCGACGTATTGCTCAGAAGAATATTAGTAAGTAATAAGACAGTCAATGACTGAATAAGATAAATATTAAATATTTAGTAATAGTAGCCTTTCTATCTCATTATATTTAGTAATCCTCAACCTAAAGTTGTAGAGGAATTTTGACTTTACTGTCATCTTTTATGTGCTTGGACAAAGCCCAGATCTCATTTCTATAATTGTTTTATCTGCATATATCCACCTGTCCAGCATTTTACTGAATTAGCCTTTGGAAAAATTAAACAACTACATGTCACTTGGAGATATTTATAGTAAGGAGATCCCCAAAGAATGAAATATCCCTAAAAAAAAAAAGTCATTGTTTTTGATTGCTGGATTCAGAGAAGGGGAGGTAGGAAGAGATTTGCCATTTCAAAGTGTTTACTTTCCCTATGCTTTCTTCTATTTTCTCATAGGAAAATACAAAAACTCTCCAACCCCCACATACCCCAAAAAACCTGATGGCTCTGTGATATTGGAACAAGAAAGTTCTTAGCATTTTGCAGTCAAGAAGCATGACTTTTCTGTTCCTTCAGAGGAAACCTAAAAAGTAGCTTGTCTCATGAACCTCAAAAGACAACAATTAAATAACCTTCACCAACTATCAACTGTCATTTTCCAAACTGCCACAGAATCTTCTAGGTCCAACATTCTGTAATTTCCGAGAAAAGATCATCTCTTCTAAAACACTCCACTTGTTCTTTGAATAGTAGCAGCAAGCTTAATCATCTCTTGGGAAGCACTCTCTAACACTATGGTTTCGCCAGTACCTGGAGCAAAACTTTTGGCAGAAACACAAGAGTCCAAGTTTGGGGAGAGCCACAGGATCAATTCACAGTTGTAAACTGGACTCCTACTCTGAAGGGTAGCAGCCATCCGCTTTGCCTGATTCTTATAATCCTGAGGAGTCACCAAAGAGTTGCTACCATTTACTGTACTTAAAGTGGTGTTACAGCATTACAAAATGGAAGAAAAACTTTATTCTATGATATGTTAGTGCTCTAGCATACATCAAAGATGAAAAATACTCAATGCAAGCCTGCTTTGGTCAACACAAAATACTTACAGAGTCTTCAGCCCTCCTGGGAGACAAATTTCACATTACTCTTCATTACAAGGAATAAAAATCCTCGTGAATAGGATCATAGGTTTCTGTGAAAGACTAGAATGAAATTCACAACAGGAAAGAACAGAAGTGAAGAGATTTAGAAAAAGAAAAAAGTCAGAGAAGGAAAAGAAAATTTTATTTTTTTAATATTTTTATTTATTTATATTTTTTGAGACAGAGTCTTGCTCCCATCACTCCAGGTAGAGTGCAGTGGCATTATCATAGCTCACTGTAGCCTCAAATTCCCGAGTTTAAGTAATCTTCTTGCCTCAGCCTCCCTAGTAACTGGGACTACCAGAACACACCATCACACCCAGCTAATTTTTTCTATTTTTGGTAGAGATGGGGCTCTCCCTTGTGCTCAGGCTGTTCTTGAACTCCTGAGCTCAAGTGATCCTCCCGCCTCAGCCTCCCAGAGTACTAGGATTACAAGTGTGAGCCACAATACCTGGCCAAAAAGAAAATTTTAAAAAGAAGAAAAAAGTACAACTCCAGGCATTGTAAAGACTCATGTAGAGAAAATATAGAGATCTATTCAATATTTTCTATAATGACAAAAAACAAAAATAAAAATCCCCATGTGAGTTTGACCCATTTTTGCTGCGTCTACTGGAATGTAGCTGTTTACACCTAACTTAAAGAGGTAAAAACATTTTCTCAGCCTTGGGGTAGGGTGAAAATAAATACTTTTTTTATCCATTGTAAAACATGGATTATCACAATGACTTTAATCATAATACATGTAATCATGCAATTACATGTGTTCGGTAACAGTATTTGAAAATAGTCCATGAAGCTACAAATTCACAGTTGGATATAAAAACCACTTAAAAATATTTCTTAGAGTTGTTTCTCCCAGTATGTACTTAGGATGAGTGCTTTGTTGTTCTAAAGTTAAAAAGTAGGGCAAAACACAACTGAAGATATATAATTTTCTATATATCTGTGCTAATATTTTTAAGAGTTTAGCCAAATCTTTATTCTCTACTTCTTTACTTCTAATAATACCTAGTTCTTTGTTCTTATTATGTTCTCTTATTTACAGGAGAACAGCTCTTTCCTAAATTTTAGTTTCCTGTTTTATTTCTTAGATTTTTTTATCCTAAAGCATTGTATTTAAAAAGTTCATAGCTGCTTAGCTTGTTTTACTTAACCAAAGTGAGAATCCATATTTGTCTTAATCTTTTAAATTTGCAATTAAAAGTACAGGGTAATTTAAAAATGCATTTTTTATCTAGTGTAATCTGTCATTTTCATGGCATCTTTTAAGTCTCCTACAATGAATATTTTTATGAGTGTCTGCTAGGTTCTGATTCTTAAATATACTAAAATGGGGACAGGCATGAGACAATGCCTGTAATCCCGGAGCTTTGGGAGGCTATGGTAGCAGGATCACTTGAGGCCAGAGTTTGAGACCTGCCTGGGCAACATAGCAAGACCCCCATCTCTACAAAAAAAATTTTAAAAAATTAGCTGCGCATGGTGGCATGGGCCTGTAGTCCTAGCTACTCCAGAGTCTGAGGTGGAAGATCACTTGAGCCTAAAACTCCAAAGCGACAGTGAACTATGATTATGCTGTTGCACTCCAGCCTGGGCAACAGAGCAAGACTATGTTTCTACAGAAAAAAAAGTTACTAAGGTGAAGACCTCAATAGCTGCTGATTGAAAAGTCTCATTCTTGAAGCTCCAGTGGCATAATCGGTTAGTGCACAGTACTCATATGAAATGTCTCCTTCTGGGAATCAGAGCATAATACTTTGGTTTGTTTTCCACAAATTTTCAAAATTTCAAACACCCTGGAACCTGCTATAAGAAAAAGTTACTCCTCCTTTTGTGATGGATGAAAAATAAATGGAATATAGGTACAAGATGAATAAGTAGTCCAGTTTATTTTCAGGTACTTATATCACAATCTGAATATGATTTTTCCCCAAATCAGCAGATAGAAGAAAGTCCATATTTAAATAATTATATTATCTTGGAATGTGAATAGCATATTTACCTATTATATTTTTAAATTTTAGTTTTATTTCCAAACCATGTATAGAAACAAGAGGGTTAGAAAATAGCTATTTACTTGTGACATACTTATTACTTTTTAATTATGAAAATATAAACTAGTTTACATTCCATATTTAATCAGAATGTTAAAAGATGAAATATACTATTTTCTTTTAGTCTTTTTCAGTTAATATACTAGAAATGAGTAAGGGAAATAGTATTCACTAAGGTAATAGCCTTAGTGAACTAGTCTACAGTTACATGTGAGGTCATTTATGATGAGCAAACAATGGATTAGGTAACAGTGAGGAAAATTCTGGAAGTCTGAGTTTGTAGCTTACTAGCAACCACTTTCAACATTTCTGCAAAGCTAGAGAAGGTATCTTCTAATTTAAATTTCTTTAGGAATTGTCTATTGTGTAATATACTGCCAACAGGAGGTCAGTTTTAAAGGAATACTGCTGATAGCCTGTGGAAAAGAAATTCTTTTTCCCCCCTTACACACTGATAGTTCTTATATTTGTATTCCTGCAATTCTTATATATATCTATATTTTTAAAAAACACATTGGATTAGCAGCAAGAGAGTTGAAAATGGCAGAAGTTGGGAATGACTGCTATTTCTTTTTTAATTCCACATGCATAAAGGTAAATATTGTACAATTTACAGTACTTCACATGCTTAAGCTTTCTAGTAGAATGAAAGAAGATATGGCAATAATTTGCACTGCTTAACCAAAATTTACTATTTTCCGGCAAGATATATTATATATGTAAAATCTGAAGTAAAAGCTTATCATGTATTTCTGAAATACTGAATTTCTCTGAGGAAATCTGGCATAATTAAAATTATGATTTGTTTGAAATTACCCTTATATATGCTGGTTACATGCCTATAGCTTTTTAATCTTCATGTGGCACTTTTACTTGTATTATGGCTCCTTCAGACATCAAATCCTAATATTGAAATATAATGTGATACGTCATATTGTTTTGGTCAATGTGATTTCGGTTATATCACTTAAAATAGTTGAATTTAGGTTACTATCAAACTTAGTGTAATAAATATAATTGTTTCCCTATTACTGAATTTCCTCTTGTCAAAAGTCTAGGTGATAGCAAATATTTAAATATAATTTAAAAAGGAAAATAAAAGTAAGATAAACAAAATGGGCCAAATATAAATTAAAGTTTATAAACTTAAATGGGAAAAAGTTTAACCCAAGGAATTAGGATTAATGGATCTCAATGAAACCTAATAAATGTAGAAACTCAGTGTTGAGAGCTTCATGCTCATGCTACTGAAACCCAATGAAAGAAATGACATACCTGGTTTTAACATGTTTCATCTCTGCTAGTAAGCCTGACTGGATTGGTTAATAGAGATCATCTCCATAATTAGAATATGGTTAGTGAGTCTTAAAAATTTTGTCTGGCTTCTTTTA